TTTTTTTTTTTTTTTTTTTTGCTGTGGGCTTTGGCTTCTTTAAAAAACTCAATCATTTTGTTCCATGCATCAATAGTTTATTCCTCTTTATTGCTGAATAGTGGCACATGGTTATGTTACAATTTGTTTATTCACTGTTGGTGGACATGAGTTGAGGCTATTAAAAATTAAGTTGCTATGAATGTTCATGTACAAGCCTTTGCATAAATATATGCTTTCATTTTCATGGTAGTTTTCTTTTTCTGCTTTCCTTTCCCTTTCTTTGTTTCTTGGCACTCTACCACTGAGCTATATCTCCAGCCCTTTTGTATTTCTTTGAGACAGTCTAAGTTGCTTAGGGCATCACTAAATTGCTGAGACTGTCTTTGAATCTCTATCCTCCTGCCTTAGCCTCCCAAGCCACTGGGATTACAGGTGTATGCCACCATACCCGACAATTGTTTTTATTTTTGAAGGATATTTTCCCAGGTAAAGAATTCTATTTTCTTTCAGCAATTTGAAGATAAGACTCCATTGTCTTCTGACTTCTTCCATTTCTCTTGAGAAATCAGCCGTCAATCTGTATTTCTTTTAAATTTTTTTTTTTAGTTGTTGATGGACCTTTTAATTAATTAATTATATGTGGTGCTGAGAATCAAACCCGCTGCCTTATGCTAGGCAAGTGCTCGAGCACTTGATTCCCAGCCCCAATCTGTATTTTCAAACTTATCTGGATACTTAGAAATTTCTCTTATTTTTCAGTAATGTATCTGTTTGTATATGGGTATGTTGTTGATTTTTTAAAGCTTACTTTTGGGGGGTTTCTTGAACCTGGGATGCTTATATCTTTGCTCAGTTTTGGAAAATTCTTAACCATTGTTTCTTTAAATATTCCCTCTGCTATATTCTTCTCCTTCTGGGACTCTAATTACAAATGTGTTGGGCCTTTTTTATTGTGTCCAGTTGGTCTTTTGTTCTCTTTTTTGTTTTTATATCCTTTTGTCTCTTTATGATCTAGTCTGGATGTTTTCTGCCATAATTTATCTTTCTTTTCTACTGGCTAATCATCTCTTTGGCTGTATCTAATTTCCTTTTAAAACATCTTTTTGAGTTTTTTAATCTTTTTTTTTCAGATCTAAAATTTCCATTTGCTTCTTTTTTACAAAATGGGAGTATCTGCTGAGATCTTCTTATCCTAGCTTTCTTGAGCCTATTAATCACAGTTTTCAGGCTGCATCTGTTTTCTCACACCTGGATTCCTGTCGGCCTCTTGCTTCACCCCCTTGGTTTTCAGTCATTTGCATCTGACCCTTTCATATGTCTGGTTATGTTTCATTGAATTCTCAGTGTTCTATTTTAAAAAGTCTAGAAATAATTTGAAGCTTGGGATGATGACTTCCTTCAAAGAAAACTTGTTTTCTCTAAGAACTGGGGATTGAACCCAGGGGCCTCACATATGCTAGGCAAGCGTTCTACCACCAAGCCCTCTCTCCAGTCCTTTTTATTTTTATTTTGATATGGGGTCTTGCTAAGTTGCCCAGGCTGGCCTTGAACTTGTTTGTGATCCTTCTACTTCAGCCTCCCAAGTTGCTGGGGTTACAGATGTAGCTACCATGCCCACAAAGACTCGGCAAAGTAGTCAGTCTTGGAAGGTTCTGGTCCGTGCACTTGATTTTATCAGGTCCTCCCTCCCCCAGGCCTCTGGCCTGGATGGTTTAAGCAGTAGGCAAAGGAATGGGTTTGGAGCTGGGGTGAAAGCGACTAGCCTGGAACATAAACAGCTTTCCCCTGTCTCAATGCTGCCCCCTGTAGCCCGTTATCTCTGGCTGTAGCTGCCCATCTCCAGTGCACATTTCCAGATACAGGCCTTCTGGCTCCCTGGGAATTTCTCGCTCTGTTGTTGTTGTTGTCATTGTTTTGTTTCTGCATGTAATGTTTCCCTTACTTCTGTAGTTTCTGCAGAAGTGATTTTGGGGAAGGAAGCCAGCAACTCAAACCATGCACAATCTTGGCAGGAATCAAACTCTTCTTCCAACATCTTGCTTTCGTTCCAAGATCTCTTGTGGCCCTGTCAATTTTAGAAATGTGAATGCAGAAATCCTTGTCCACAAGGACACAGAATAGAGGTCATTGGAGAGGGGCTGGGGATATATAACTCAGTGGTAGAATGTGTGCTCAGCATGCATGAGGCCCTGTCCCTAGGACCAAAAAAGAAAAAGGGTATTTTGAATGTTGGCTTACTTTCTTTCACTTATTCTAGTTTATAGAATAAGAATGAGTAAGACTTGAAAATGAACACACTTTCTACTGTATTCCTTAACAACCAGCATTTAAATGGTATTCTCATTGCCCATCACATGCCATGTCTTCTGTTTTATATTCCTTCTTGGTTATGTATTTTAATTAAAATTATTATTTAGCTGGACACAGTGGCACACATCTGTAATCCCAGTGGCTTGGGAGGCTGAGGCAGGAGGATCTTGAATTCAAAGCCAATCTCAGCAATTTAGTGAGGCACTAAGCAACTGAGTGAGACCTTGTCTCTAAATAAAATACAAAAAGGATTGGGGATGTGATTGGGGATTGGTGGCTCAGTGGTTAAGTGCCCCTGAGTTAAATCCCTGGTACCAAAATTATACATATTATTAACATATATATTATTTAACATTAATATGTATTTTTTAACATTCAATTTAACCAGAGAGAAACAAAATATATCATGTAATATATTTTCATACTTCCTATTTCAGAACTACCTTACTTTTAATCCAACAAATAATAAAGAATTGGTGAGCAATAGTAAAACACAGGCAATATATTATTCATGGGTAAGTAGAAATATTTTGATTTCTTTAAATATGGGTACAAGTTTATTCTTTGGATACAGACATTTTAGTAATATAATAATACTGTATTTAGGGAGCAATGACTATATATCAAAATGTTGATTTAATTATAGTCTTTGTTTTAGTCCCATTGGAAATTAGCATATTAAGTCAGAAACATAATTAAATTTCTTTAAGTAATAAAGCAAATGTTTATTTGAATATAGTTACAGGTCTAAAAGTGTATTTTGAGATCATGGACTTTATTTCCTTTCAGAAAGAAATTAGCAAACAGATCGGTAGTAGCATATATACCAACACAGGAAAAAAGAATGACATTAAAGAACAAAGTTAGGGCCTGGGGAGATAGCTCAGTTGATAGAGTGCTTACGGAGCACGAACACACCCTGGATTCAAACCCCAGCATCACTAAACAAACGGTGGGGCTGGGTGGGCTAGGGTTGTGGCTCAGCAGTAGAGCTCTTGCCTAGCAGGAGGTACTGGGTTTGATCCCCAGCACCACATTAAAAAAAACTAAAACTAAATAAACAAAATAAAGGTTTTAAAAAAAATGGTGAGGCTGGGGATATGCCTCAGAGGCAGAGCCCTTGCCTACCTTGTTCAATTCCCAGCCCTACACACAAAAAAAATTAAACGTAGAATTGCCATATCACTCAGCAATTCTAAGGTATATGCCTGAAAGAATTGATAACAGGCATTCATACAAATAGTGCTACACGAATACTCATTGGAGCAGCATCTCCACCATAATCAAAAGGTCAAAACAAGCCATATGTCCATCGACTGTCAATCAGCTGATGAATAGGTAAACAACGAGACAAATTCATACAATGGAATATTATTGAATGAAGTACTGGCACTTGCTATGATATGAATATCAAAAACATTTTTTCTAAATGAAAGAAGCCGAATACAGAAAGTCACACATTGTCTGATTCCATTTATGTGAAATGCAGGAATCGGCAAATCCATAGGGTGATTATAAGGGGCTTGGTGGGAGAGTTGGTTACAGGGTCTTTTTGGGGTGATGAAAATGTGATAGTGGGAAAAAAGAGAAAATATGATAGCGGTAGTTGCACAGCATTTTAAATATAATAAATACCACTGAATTATACACTTTAAAATAGTTAGCAGTTAATTTCATGTTAAGTGCATTTTGCCTCAATTTAAAAAATGCAAAACAAAAGCACATTGACTTGTTAATTGTCAGTAATATTCATTGCTTCAGCTGTTTATTTTAGTTTTAAAGGCTTATTAATGCAGAATTAAAATTCTTATTAACTACCATTTAAAGTCTCAGTTACTCTGGCATTTTCTGTGTATTCGCTTTTCTTTGAGAATGTTTTTAGAGGTTCCTTAAGATGGTAGGTTCTCTTAGCTGTAGAGATTGCAAATCTCTGACCCTGTTTAGATGTGTTTGTTTTGATTTTGCTATTATGTAGTTCCTATTTTGGAAATTAGGCCTTTTTTTTTTTGGTAGTGATTATTTTTTTCCTTTGCTTATCAGTGTGAAGAGAAAAATATACTTGCTCACAGTGCCCCACTCTTAACAGAAAAAGTGAGTATGCCTCTTGCATTTTTATATACCAGATTCTGTGGAGAAGGATTGTGTATGTGCAAGCTCAGTTGTTTCAGATCATGTTTGAATGTCTTAATATTGAACCACTGAGAAATAATTGGAAAAATTTTACTTGGGTCCTTTGCCTTTATCAAATTGTCAGTTGAAAACAACAGAAATATTGTTAAAAGTAAAATGCCTTGGGCTGGGGATGTGGCTCAAGTGGTAACACGCTTGCCTGGCATGAGTGTGGCCTGGGTTCCATCCTCAGCACCACATACAAACAAAGTTGTTGTGTCCACCAAAAACTAAGAAAAATAAATAAATATATATTAAAATTCTCTCTCTCTCTCTCTCTAAAAAAAAAAAGTAAAATGCCATATAAGAATATATCCAAAAAGCAATGGATTTTATAGTGTTTATGTGCATATTAACAAGAATTAATTAGCAGTCATGCCAGGGAGTAGCCGGACATGAGTAGATCTCTTAGGAAGCTGCTCAGTTTCAGAATAATTTTTTAAAGAGTGTGTTCAGCTATTTAAGAAGGTAGGGAACCAGATGTGGAGAAAGTGTTTTTTCTCACCTTCTTACTTCAAGCCCCTACACCGGAGCTGGAACTGGGCTTCTGTCTACTACAGCATTTCCTCCCTTTGATGCCTACATAATCTGCCCTCAGGGAACACTTTATGGTGACTTTACTGCTCCTGTTCTTTCTTAGTATGATTTGTAAAAATTACTTTTAAAAAGGATATGCCAAAATAAAAAAATAAAGATGGAATGAATGGACGTAAGGAAAGATGATTCTGTGTGCAAACTTGTTTTCCAGAAATGAGAGTATAAAAAGTAGTCAGCTCTCATTAATCAAGGTAGCTATGTTCTATAAAGTCCCTTCAAGTACTGAATTAGTGAATAGTGACCCATCACTCCCAGGGGAAATACAGTAGGTTCCTGTGAGCCCCTGGTCACATCTTTAACACTCAGCATCATTTTATGCGTGTTTCTGCTTAAAGACACCATTAATATACAACACTGATTTATTAACAGGGGGCTCATGATGAATAGCACTAGAACTTCTCATGTCTGAATGAAGCTCATCTGACATGCATTTCCTCCACAGGGCACATCATAGCCTTCTTATACTCAGGACTCTAGATAGCACTTCAGCATTAAGTTTGAGGGCTGGTTTAAATACTGAAGTCACCAACAAAAAAACACCAAAAAATGTGTGCCACACAGCACTAAATGGAAAGAACATTTGTTTATAGTATGAGAACTGAAATAAGAAGGCAGAACCCTGGACTGGGGCTGTGGCTCAGTGGTACAGCACTTGCCTAGCATGTGTGAGGCACTGGGTTCAATTCTCAGCACCACATATAAATAAATAAATAAAGGTGATGGCAGAACCCTTCCTTGTTTGACTTTCAGCTGGGAAAGTATGTGTCATGTAAGTCAAGTTTTTTTTTTTTTTGCCATACTGCAAATACACACATATGCAAATGACTATGAAAGTACTATATTGATTTAGGGTTACAAATAAATTCTAGCAAGTAGATGAAATTTGCAAGTACAGAATCAGCAAATAATGAGCATTTACTGCAATTTGAAATGGTAAAAATGCCTTATGTTGAAACAGTGCTGCTCTTAGAAAGAACTTGGTGCTCTTGTTTGGCCAGTTTTTCTTTACTAATCCTCTTGTGTTGGGTCAGAGGACACAAGCCCACAATCTTCTTGGCATACTTAGAGAACTAGGCAGCAGACCTGCTTTTTCACATTGCTGAGTTTCATTTATTTCATGAACATTCACTAAAAAGGCTTTTATCACTGTTCTGTATTCTTTCTATACTTCATCTCTAAGACACTGCCTAAGAAAAACAGCCTAGTGCCTTATTTTGTAGTACAAATTTAATAAGGACTCTTATTTAGGGCATTTCTATATAAGTGTTTAAATAATTTTTACTGATGTGAAAATATCGCACGATCAAAGGAAACTGGGGTAATTATTTTATGATATGTTACAATCAGAGCATGCTTTTGCTCATGAAGGACGTCAATTTCTTTATCAGCCTCTGAAACCTCTGTAGAAGTTGGCCTGGTATAAACAGTGATTACCTACTCTTTCATTTGCTTTAAACAAGCAGTTTAATTGAATGCAGTACGCAACCCATCATTTGCTCTTAGTAAACTTTAGGAGGTTCAGGACTGTCAGGACCATGGCAGGAGCCACGGGAGAAGGTCTTTAGTGATTCTTTATGTTTTTTTCCCCTTTCTTTTTTTCCTCATTTTATTTCAGCACAGTATTATAAAAATGTTACATTTTTGACAAATGCTTTGTTTTGTATTTATTACCAATAATAACTCATACTCTGTCTTTTGAAACACAGACATTCAACAAGCTTGTGGGAAAATTTAGCCAGTCCGTCTTTCACTTGAATTTAACACAAATACTCTCGGCGACGATGGAAGGGAAGCTGGTCGTCTGGGATGTACACCGTCCCCCGGAGTCTTCCTCCACCCTCTTTAGCTTTCCCTACATCAAGCCCTGTAAACTGGTACATCTGCAGAGGGAGGGCATCACCGTGCTCACTACAGTTGATAAGTAATTAATCTAGTTAAAAAGTAGCTATAGATGATTGTAAAAATGCTTTAGAACTCTTTCTGTACACATGTTTAGTATATGCATAGAATATTTCTGGGGAGACTCATAATTAACTGAGAACATTGGTTGCCTCTGAGGAAAAGAAGTGAGAACAAGAACTAAGGGTGGGGGTGGAGTTACTTCTTTTTATAGTCCCATTTGTACTAATTGGATTTTTTAAGATCACAGGCCTTCGTTATGTTTTTTAAAAATCCCTTTGTGTTGGTGAAACAAAAAATAACTGAAGTTTTTTCTTTGGTGCTAATTACACTTGTTTTGCACCCCAAATTTTGCATACTTTACATTTAAAAAAAATAACTCAAAGAGCTATCTTGTTTCTATCTGATTGAAAAATGACATTTATGCATTGTGTGAAAATCAAATGCATCAGAACTTTATAGAATTCACTAACTTCATTTTGAGGGACTATGGAGGCTCACAGATTATCTAAACCTTGCTTAGAACAGAGTTCACATTCCAGCTGCAACCCTTCCTGGCTGGGTGATCTTGAGCAAGAAACTTAACCTTGCTAAACCTACATCTCTCCATCCACAGAGTGGGCACCACAGCACTGTCTCTCTGTGAGTTATTTTAAGAGGCTTTCATGAGACAAGTGTGTAGAACTCTGCACACTGCTTAGCCTAGAGGTGCCCCTAGGTAAGTGATAGCCATCATTAGTGTGCTAGAGAAGTTCCCAGAAGTGTGGAGGAAATACCCAATGACGAGGACCTACTTATATGGTTGGAGTCACAGTACCATCTGCTTTTAAAAGACCCATTAGCTTTCCTTTGCCTTCCCTCTGATACAGGGGAATAGTGAGGTCCTGGTGTGGTTTCACAAAGAGAGGTGCAAATTGTCATCTTCACCCAGCAGTGCATAAAACATAGGAGATCTGTGATTGATGACATAGTCAACTCAATTATTTGGGGCTTAGGGCCCAAAGAAGACCATACCTAGGTTCCTCTCTTTCCGTATTAGAACCAGCCAGGACCTGGGAGCTCTTGAAGGAAAACACTTGGCCAGTTTTGCTGCTTCTGTCCAGCAGAGGGCAGTGAAATAAGTTCTAGCCCATTACTCTGCCCACCTGCCTTGCTTGTTAACAAGAAACCTCCTTTAATCACTGTGTATAATATATGAGATAATTTACTCCCCTTCTCCATCACAATAATTGTGTCACAGTAAAAAAAAAAAAAAGCTCATTTGGGGTGGATCCAAGGACTGGAAATAAAAGCCATTTTGTCATGCAACACTGCCTTTGACTGTGATGACTGGACAGGGGTTTATGATCACTTTTACAACAGTGCCCTCCTTGGAAGCAGCTAGTATCCCATTGCCAGCCTGTGTGGTTTTTGGAGGGCTGGTTGATTGGCTTGGTTGTCATCTATAATGGTATAGCAAATGTAAATCACTGTCCCTCTATGCATATGGTTGATGTTGGAGATCAGGAAAGGGTGCATGAACTTTACTTCAGATACACCTGGATTCTCTGTGTGGTCTAGTCAGACAGTTGCAGGGCATATGTATGTCCCTTGGGATATTTGGGATATACTTACTCAGAAGATTATTCATCAGCATGAAGTGGTGTGTAACTGTATCTAGCTACTAAGGAGGCTAAGGTAGCAGGATTGCCTAGGCAGCTTAGTGAGACCCTTTCTCAAAATTAAATTTAAAATGAGCTGGGGGTATAATTCAGTGGTAGAGCACTTGCTTAGCATGTGCAAGACCCTGGGTTTGATTCCCAATATTGGGGGAAAATAGTCCAGTACGATGGCACATGCCTGTAATCCCACTGACTCCAGAGGCTGGGGCAGGAGGAGCACAACTTCAAGGCCAGCCTCAGCAACTTAGTGAGTTCTAAGCAACTTAGCAAAACCTTTTTTCAAAATAAAAAGGGCTGGGAATATAGCTCATTGGTAAAGTGTCCCTGGGTTCAATCCCTAGTTTCCTACCTACCACCAAAAAATTCATTGCTTATCTTAGATTCCGATTTATCTGGGCATCCTGTGTTGTTGTTGTTTGCTAAATCCAATAATCCTAGGTCTTGAGCAAATTTTTCAATTTTTCCGAGCTTAATTTCTTAGTTGTAAAGTGGGGCAACCTCATACTTTTCCTAGATACAAATCAGACAAGATTCAATGAAGTTTTTCTTATCATGCCCAGAGCCCAGAATGCAACATAGTCAGGTGTTCAATAGATGATACTTGCTATTACTGCTATTAACAAACCCATGTTATTCTCTATTTCAGCTACCTTGTCACAGGTGACATTAGGGGTAACATTAAGTTCTACGACAGCACCCTGTCAATTGTTAACTGGTACAGTCACTTCAAACTGAGTCCCATAAGGAGTCTATCCTTTTCAAATATCCCAGCAAATCCTCCTACTGAGGAATCAAACTTCCTTCCGGACTGTACTTTAAAAGGTGACTTTTTCATTGTCAGGTAAGTTGTTGATAAATCTAGTCAACTGGAATGTCAAAAAAAAGTCTGGTGTCATCTTTTGTTTCCAAGCAGTGGAACATTTCTCTTGTTCCTGGATGTGAAATGGAGAGGCCTAGCCTTTCTCCTCAGCCCTTTACCTGCTTACAGATGGTCTCCTTTGCTGATTGCGAAGGATCATTGGATCATTTTTTTTAATATAAGGAATCTTGAGTAACTAGAAGTTGGAAAGTCCTTATGCTGTGCTCTCTCTCACCTCGGTTGAGCCTTGAGTCCTTGGCCACAGTTGCTCTCTTGCTCTGAGCTGAGCTTGTCCCAGCCACTGTGGTTAAAGGCGCTAGATAATTAATAGCCATAACATTTCAAGACCGAATTATCTGTGAGTCTGCTTAATTACCCTTGCAGTCTTTACAGGCACATCTGTATGTGTGCACCCAGCTCCATATTTGCATACACAAATGAATATTTGCATGTGCAGATTAGCTAATTGTACAACTGACTGTCCATCTGCATACTTAATGACTCAATTTACATGTAGAAAAGTGGGCTTTTTTCACTTGCAAATGGAGGCTGTTGGGTATTGGTGGTATATTTTTGGAGATGTTGGGTTAATAATGTCACTAAATTACAGATGACAGAGGCGTTTCGTGTGCAATTAGAGAGAGAATGGCTGGCGTGCCCCGTTCCCTGCAAACACTGATACTGTTTGGTCTCTCCTTGGCAAACAGGAATTTTATCATTGGAACATCTGATGCCTCGGTGTACCACTTAACAACAGATGGCACCAAACTTGAGAAGTTATTCATAGAGCCCAAAGATGCCATTTATGCCATCTCCTGCCACCCATACCAACCTCTAATCGCCATTGGGAGTGTCTGTGGGATAATTAAAGTGTGGGATTATGAAAAGAAGAAGTATCTTTTCAGCAGGGTCTTTGAGAAAGGGCTCGGAATCCAGAGTCTGACCTACAACCCTGAAGGTATGTTCACCTCTCCAATCCAACTTGGGTTCCAAGTCCAAAACACGCCACAGGGGCTATGCCCTTAGCTGCCAGGGCTCCAAGCAGTTGCCCCCGATAGAGGAGACGCCTTCTCTCTGAGAATGCTGTGGCACTCTGGACTTCCTGCTCTCTGAGAGCTCATGCCAAGTGTCCACCTTTTCAGTTTATTTCTCTTATAGAGACTTTGTCAGTTTGTGCTGGTTGCTGTCTGCTCTGCACCTAGGACCAAGCCTGGCTCAGACTCCCTATTTCTCAAATGGAATAAAGTCCTTTTTTTCCATCAGGGTTCTCTGGCTTGTCATTTCAGGAGCTCTGCTTGGAGCTGGCTTCACAGAGGGGACAGTTTATATTCTTGACGCAATGTCCTTAGTAAATGAAACCCCACAGGCTTTCAAGTATTCCAGGACCAGTGTGACTCACGTCAGCTTCTCTCATGACTCCCAGTATATGGCGACTGCTGTAAGTATCTTCACTGACTTCTGGCGCGTGGCTTAGCACCCTTACTGAAGATCAAAAGAGAGCCCATCGGGGAAAGTGGGGGTGACGGCACATGCTAATGTTGCAATGATGGATGCACAACTCTGTGGCTGTGCTAAAAACCACTGGACCTTGCACATTAAATGGGTGAGCTGTGTGGTATGTAAATTATATCTCAATAAAGCTGTTTCCAGCAAGGGGTGGGGGAGGTAGAAGGCCTTTTGCCTGTGCACAAGATTAGGTCTCAGAACTTCCAGACGTGGCTTCTTCTGTGATGGCACCTGTTCTTTTAATCTTTGCCTCTCATTGTTGACAAGACGAAATCTCCTTGATTTCAGAGCAGCATCCTCTACCCAGCATTTTGTATTCTGTTCCTTCCTCTATTCTTAGGGCTCATGGTCTCAGGAAGGATGTTCTAGACCTTTGACCTCTCCCTCCTGCCTGTACCACTGGTCTGCTTTTCTGGGGGAAGCAGCACCTTCCCTGTCCCCCCAGCCTCTGAGCGCCTCCACTGCTGCACAAGCCGCCTCTCCTCTGGGGTGCACGTGGCTCTCGCCAGGGCAAAGGCATCGGGGCACACAGCTCAGGAATCTGTGTCCCTCCAGACCGCGCTCTCCCACCACAGCCTCTGCCGTACCTTTTCTATTTTCTGCAGCTGAACAAAGAGAAGGGAGGGCAAAAATAAAGGGTCAGGCTCTTGGTTTTTCCATGGAGAATGGGGGGGGGACTTGGAAAGAAGAGTAAGACTCCAGTGTCAGATGAACTCTTTTTCTCCCATCCACCTTTGTAATTTTCTCATATATTATAATTACTTGTAACTGTGATTTTCTCATCTATTAAATTATTTTACTGTGTGTTCTGACAGAGTAAGATTTTTTTGGATAAGATAGAATTCTGAGGTTTTTTTGTTTTTGTTTTTGTTTTTGTACCAGGGAATGAACCCAGGGGTACTTAACCACTAAGCCACATCCCCATCTGTTTTTATATTTTATTTAGAGACAGGGTCTTGCTAAGTTGCGTAGAGCATGGTAAGTTTCCAAGGCTGGCTTTGAACTTGAGATCCTCCTGCCTCAGCCTTCCAAACCTCTGGGATTACAGACGTGTGGCACTTTGCCTGGGTGGATAAGATATTCTAAAAGCAAAATTGTTGTGAAGAGCATAAATATGATTCTTAAGTCATAAAATGAAAAAAAAAATGACTTCTGCTCCTGTGCTTGTATCCAGGATGTAAATTTCACTGTGGCTGTGTACATGGTAGTAGTTAAAAGTGGACAAAGGGTCTGGGAATATTTAGCAAGACTCCGCTCTCACCGCAAAAGCATCCAAAGCCTCCTATTTGGGGTTCACCTGGACAGCAACGAGCCTAGGCTGCTGAGCCTGGGTTCAGACAGACTCTTGGTAAGCTGTTTAGTTTTGTTTTCCTGGTCTCCAGGACTGTGTCTCATTCTCGTTACAACATCCCTGGCATCTTGCATAGAACAGGCCCGCAATGTGTGTTTGTTGGAGACAAGGAGTACCCAGCACAGTGTTAGACCCTCCCCGAGTCAGCATTTTGCCTTAACACAACTGTGACACTGTATTGGGATTCGGGGCCTGAAGGGGGTGCTCCTGGGAAGGGGCAAGTGGGAAGGCAAGGGAATAGGGTATCCCCCACAGCATGGAAGACTCAGACTGGGGATGCAGCTCCATGGATGGTAAAGCACTTACTTAGCATGTATGACACCCGGGTTGAACCCTCCAAGCTCCTAGAGGACAGGAGATAAAAAGAGAGACAGTGCAAGCACAATATTACGGGATGAAGTCAAAAGGATTCCAAAGCATTCAGTGTATCCATCTGTGGTTTCTTCCTCCCTCCTTTCATCTTCTCTCCCTACTGCCCCTCTGCCTTCCTTTTCTGCTTTTCTTTATTCTATCCATTGATCTTGGAGTACCCACTGAAACATATCTATGGGAAAATGCAGCAGGTTACTAATTTGTGATCATTAAATGCTGAGATTTAGATGTGAATTAGTTCCTGCTCTTGAAGAGTTTGCAAGATAACATTAAGGGTGCAGAACAACATAACTGTAAGAGTTCAAGTTGGGGTCAGTTGGACCTGAATTTGAAATTTTCCTCTACCATTTCTTAACTGCGTGGCCTTGGGCAAGCTGCTGTGAACATATATTTGACCCTCTGTGAAATGGACACAGCTATTACTCTGAAGGGAGTTGGAATTAAACTACCCAGGGCCTTACTTATACTAGGCAAGGGCTCCACCACCAAGTCACATCCCCAGCCCAAATAGTTGGACTTGTTTCTCAGGGGAGTACTCAGTATGGTAACTCCTTCCTTTCGAGGTCTAGGTGAGTCTGAGGGAGCCAACACTGTCTCCCTGTGGGCTGAGGATTAGAAAGGCCAGCACCCAGAACTTGAGGCTCCTCGAATGAGTTCTTCATCCAGCTCAGTCCTAACATTTGTCCTCCTGGGTTCTTCTGCAGATAGAGTATAATCTCATCAAGAGCTACAAAGACAACCTGGAAGTCTTGGACATACATCGAACTGACCAGGGCAACTACCCAACCTGTATGGTCTGGTACCCGCCACTGGTCAAGGAGCAATTCTTGCTTATTTGCAATAGTGGCTACAAAATGAAACTTTTTAATTCGACCACCAAAATGTGCAGGTGAGTGCAAGGTTCGCCTGGATCAGCTCCTCCGCCCCCAGTCTGTTTCAGGTCTCCGCCCAAGGGCCCGGGACACTTTGGCTACTATAATCATCCTCCTCACTTTGCAGAGGAAACTCAGGCACAGAAACACAAGTAGTTCTCACCCAAGGTCACACAGCCCGGCAGCCGGGTACAGCTTGGAGGTAGGATGCCCAGAGCTCAATGCTCATGAATCAATGAATGAGACAGAGCCTGGGGCCCAGGAAAGGTTGCTGATGCTCTCCAGTGCCTGGCTCTTCTACGTGAAGAAAGCCATATTTTCACCAGACTACTCCCAAGTTTTAAAAAAAAAACTGGCTCTCAAAGGTGGCATCCTTTGTCCCCTGTCTGCATGAGCCAGCCGCTGTTCCAGGTGCTGAAGGGGGGAGGAGTAAAAGCAAAACAGCAGACTGTGGCTGGGGCTCAGTGGTAGTGCGCTCACTTGGCACCCATGAGGCACTGGGTTCGATCCTCGGCACCACATAAAAATAAAATAAAGGTATTGTGTCCACCTACAACTAAAGAAATGCATATTAAAAAAAAAAAGCATTTCTCCATAGTGGGGCTTACACTTGCAATAAATGCAGAAATTGACCAGGTGGTAAGGGAGCAGGTGCCAGGCCAGGGAGCGGTGGCATGCAAAATGACCCCAAGAGTGGGGTCCTGGGAAAGAGGAGCTGCTGTTTTCAAAGGGTAGCAGGGGATACCGCAGAGTAGGTGACATTAGAAAGAGACTTGAAGGAGGTGAAAGGGCAAGCTAGGGCATTGGAGGAAAAGACCTCCAGACAGGATCTGCACATGAAGATAACTGAAGATAGAAAGCATCTGGTTTTGAGAAATGCCAGGAAGTCTTGGTTGGAGTGGAGTGGGCAGGGGAGAGTATGGGAGAGCTCAGCCTGGGCGGGGCACCTGACACCTGGCCTCTGTCCAGGCTCTGGACTCTGGGGTACAGAGGGCAAAGGTAGATCAAGGTCAGGAGGCTATTGTAAGAGATGATGGTGGCCCCAAGAGGTGACAGGGAAGGAGTTAGGTTCTGGGTACATCGTGCAGGCAACGCTAACAGGGTTTGCTGGTCGTCATTCTGCGTGCCACTTCTCAGTGGCACCTGCTCTCTCACCGTGTGGTCATTTACTGCATTTACTCTAAGTGAGAGGAGTGTGTCAGGCCCCCAGGGTTCTGGCCTGAGCAGCCAGAGCAGCAGGACTGATCTCAAATCAGATGAGGAAGGACAGGTCTGAGACAGTCAGGACTGGAAGTTTAGACCAGGTAAGTTTGAGATTCTACTCATCATCCACGTAGGAATACCCGGCTTAGGTGCTTGACTCCAGAGGTCATGAAGTAAGCTGGGCTGGAGGTCAAGAGGAAAGAAGGGTTTAAAGCCACAGACAGGAGATGTCGATGGAAGAGTAGATGAAGGTTGAAGGCCAAGCCTAGGGTATGCACAGCTGGTATCTGAGTGCAGCACCTTCCCTGCAGAAGTGGTCCTGCAGCCGGAGGTGGCCGCAGGATGTGCTGGACCTGCAGACCTTGGGCTTGCTCCTCCCTATGGGCATGGATGCATGTCAGCTCTGTCCAGGCCTGCACTCATCATCCATTTCATCCTCAAAATCCTGCGTCCTGCTGAGGTTCAGGTCTTCCCAGTGACGCAGCTGGGCAGGGCAGGCAAGACTTGATCTTCAAACCTCGCTCTGACTCTGACCTCTACTACAGACTGCACAGACCTGTGCAGCCTGGCTTTGGGTCCTGCCTGGACAGACCTGGAGGGGATTTTCTGCCTCTCAGGTTTAGCTAGAAAGAGGCAGAGCCAAGCAAAATTGGGAGCGACAGCATTTCCTGGGAGCAGGTAGGTGGAGAGCTCGCAGCAGCAACTGTGTTAGAGGACAACCACTGTTGTGACGAATGTCTCAGATGAGATAGGGCCTGCAAGCCCCAGTCACTGAGGTCTTTTTTTCTTCCTTAAAAGTTTTTTTTTCCCTAGAAAGCATAAGGAAAAATAAGAAATTCCACATTATATGGTAGGAAGAGAAATCCAGCACAATTTAGGGGGAAAAAAACTATTAAAACACTTGAAGAATGTATAAAGAAGAGTTTTAGGAAGATTTTAGAATCTCTGTGCATCATCTCTAATGGATGCACATTTCTAGGGCAAAGAATATCCTACAGATTCTCTGCATTTGCAGGGCAGGAGAGTTAGGGATGGCATGCCTCGGGCTTGAAATTCCTGCTAACAGCTATCAACAAGAGAGACTTCGAGCCACACATTTAGGAGTTTTGCTTATTGGAGATCAATCTGAAATTAGCATAAGTCATCTTTTTTTAAAAAAAATATTTTAGTTGTAGATGGACACAATATCTTCATTCGTTTATTTCTTATGTGGTGCTGAGGATCGAACCCAGGGCCTCATACTTGCAAAGCAAGCGCTCTGCCACTGAGCTACAGCCCCAGCCTCGCATGAGTCATCTTTTAAGAAGATAATTTATAAAGATAAAATTCACATAACGGGAGAAGATAATTTATAAAGATAAAATTCACATAACGGGAATCTCAGCATTTAAAAATGAACAATGCAGTGGAGTCCCACACAGCTACAGTACTGTGCAGCCGCCACCTCTTGTTCCGAACATCTGCGTCCTTCCGAAATAAAACCCCTTTCAGGAGACATCTTCCATTTGTAGGAGAAGTAAAGCCTCATAACCCCAGCTTAATGGGAAAGGAGTTGCTTTTTCATGATAAATCCAAAAAAATTTTAAAACACATTTTAAAAATACTTGAAAGAACATGAAAAGGCAGTTCACAGAAAAAGGCCAATAAACATGAGCAGATGCTCAGCAGTCTATCAAAGATGCAAATGAAAACAAGATATCATTTTTTACAAATCATATTAGCAAAGATAAAAATGATCGATAGTGCCAAGTGCTGGCAAGGGTATGGGAGTCGGACGCTCTCTCCCGCTACGGTGGGGGTGCAAATTGGTGCAACCTTTTGGGAAAGCAATTTGTCACCCTCTATTAAATTTTATCATATCTTCTGAATTCTAGGAATGGAGCCCACAGACGTACTCACACAGTTATGCCAAGACATAAGTAAAAGGATCTCTTGTTTGAAAATATGTTTTAAAATGGAAACAATCCAAATGTCCATTAATAGGGAGTTAGTTAAACGATGGCTTGTCAGTACACTGGAACACGGTGCCGCTTTTAGAAAAGGAAAAAAAGAAAGTAAGATAGTCCTCTATGTGGTAACAAGGAAATATCTTTAAGATATAAAATTAGATAGAGCAACTTGCCAAATAAGCATAAACAGTATATTTCTAACTTCATATGAGATCATAATTACAAAAGAAATTCTCAAATCATGTACATCTATTTCCCAGGCTTATCTTGGGACAGGGTGCAGCAATGTGGTGTTATAGGTTTATGTGTCTAAATGTTTGAAAATTTTCACAATTAGTGTATAATACTTTTTTGGCTAGAAGAAAAAGATAATTAATTTATAAGATTGTTCGATAGGCTTAATAATACAGTTATGTGGTGGCAGTTAGGTGGCTGTGTGCCAGAAACCATTCTGAGGGCTTCATACATATTGAGTAATTTGACGTCCAGTATAGCCAGCGTAGGGGCCAGTGCTGTCCTTATCCCTATCTTACTAATAAGGAACTGGAAGCACAGATAGCATCTAACCTTTTCTTTTCTTTTTTTTTTTAAGAGAGAGTGAGAGAGGAGAAGGAGAGAGAATTTTTAATATTTATTTTTCAGTTCTTGGCGGACACAACATCTTTGTTGGTATGTGGTGCTGAGGATTGAACCCGGGTCGCACGCATACCAGGCGAGCATGCTACCGCTTGAGCCACATCCCCAGCCCCACCTTTTCTTTACTTTAAAATTTATTATTAATAATGATGATCCATGAAATCATCCTAATTCTGTTAGAAGCCCTCAGGGCTCACTGGGTACAAATAAGGGGTCCTGAGCTTATATGCTGCTGGCCACAGGGAACATCTAGCCCTCACCTGGAGTGAGCCCTAGTTATAAAACAGTCTGAATTAGAGGAATCTAAGCCAGATGCAGCCACACACACCTGAAGTACCTGCTTCTTAGGAGGCTGAAGAGGAGGATTGCTGACGCCCAGGAGTTTAAGGCAACATAGAAAGACACTATCTCAAAAAAGAAAAATGAAAAGTTGAATTAGAGAAGTGACACCAACACCGTTGCAGTTTGATGCCTGAGCACAGATGGGCTTTGGAAATCTGTGTGTAGCATGCACCTGAGTAAATCAGACACATGGAACAAAGCGTAGATGTCATCCTCATCTTGGGGCCTCACGCTGGGACTGGGGTGCTCTCAGTGTCCTGCCAATGAGCATCCTTTCCTTGCAGCTTCTTTCTTGTCTCTTGTTCACATGTGCTTTAAGTTGGCGGCGAGACTCCCTCAAGCACTCTTCACAGCGAGACTCCCGCAAGCACTCTTCACAGCCCAGCTCCCCAGAGCGTTTGCTGTTTGGAGTTGTTGCCTCTTATTTACAGCAGCTGTTCTCAGGGACTGGGAAGGGCTCTTACATCCCAGCTGAGCTGAGTGACAAGACAGAAATTCAGAATCAAAAAATGCATAAGATCATCATGACCACAGAGTCCCAACCGAAGCCTGTGTTTAGATTTGTGGAATTTAAAAATCCATTCCTTTTTTTTCCCATCCAGAAAGACGCTTCTTGGGCCAACTTATGGATCTCCTATCAAGCAGACGCAGGTCCTCCCTGTGAAAACCACCCTGGATCTACAGAGGCGCTACCTGGTGTTCATTAACAAAGACAAGGTAGCAGCCCTCTGCTCTCTACCTCTACTCTTTACCTCTCACCTGTGGGCAGCAGTCAGTCCCAAGGACTGACAGACTCAAGGATACCTGGTCTGCTGGCCGCATGTAACCACTTCCGTCCAGGGTGATATGATACTAAAAATTGCTAGATTAGTAAAAAGGATTCTGGGCAATATCCGAGGGTAGACCTGCCGTATTTTCTGTATCTCCAGTGAAGACATGTGGCCCTTTTTTCCAAAGAATGGAAAAAAGTCTTTTTTTTTATATAATCTTTTTCTTTTTTTTAGTTCCAGATGGACACATTACCTTTATTTATTTTTATGTAGTTCTGAGGATCGAACCCAGTGCCTCACATGTGCTAGGCCAGTGCTCTACCATTAAGCCACAACCC